GCATTCAATTACCTCAATCTAAAAATCCCTAAAATGCAGCTACCCTGAATTGCAAATAGTACTGCCAAGATGCAGATGTTGCTGCTAAAGTGCAGATGAAATTTATTTTCCCTAAAATGCAGATGAAACGGTGTTGCTTTAAAAAAGGTATAACGCAGATAATTTTTATCGTATAAAGTGCAGATAAGATGCTGCCTAAATGTAGATCGTATAATTTCATTAAAATACATCAATATTCGATGAATTTTTTTTTCTTGATGCGTGTTAATGACTTCAAATGTTCCATGATAAAATTTAAGGGTAATTATTTTGTCTGATGACATATTTATGTATATATTGGGTCGAGTATCCTTTTTATGAGCTCATCTATATATCTTGCAAAAATGTTACATGTCGTTTAACAACAAAACTAGTGTATCGGGTAGAAACCCAATGCGGATATATTCGCACCGTACCGTCAAAAGTCTTATGGATAGACAGAGATTTGTTCAGCATACGTTTGAAGGTATAAAGCTAGCGTGTCAATTGAGCTTCTCTCAGCATATGTGTGAAGGTTTTAAACTTAACGAACATTCTTTAAAAGTTTTTTGAAAAAAATTTTCATCTAAAGTTTAATTTTATAAAAATCACAGGAAACTTTTGTTTTAAAACATTCATAAGTAAGGAAAGTTTTTTGCTTTTTCTGAAGCAACGGCTGTTCCTACCTTGCCCAAAAACAATACAGCTCTTCTATAGAGCAGCACGGATCAAATGTATAAAACTAGAAGTCTCTACGAGGTCTCGTTATTGAGATTTCTTGCTTGCTTGCTTGTTTGCTTACAGAAATCGTATTTTGCGATTTTCTCAGCAATGCCTTAATTAATTTGAAATCTGATTTTTGCAAAAGGTGTAAAATTTCAGGCAATATTTCTTCCAGGACCTTTTATAACCAATTTTGCTTCGTTTTCTCACAAAATGCGAAAAACTGATTTTTCAATCTGAACAAAACCAATAGATTCACACGTGAAAACGGTGTGAATTTAAAAATACATTTGTAGATATATCAATGCACTATGGGCCAGAAATCGAAAACTTTTCCGAAAATTATTTTTTTGGTCTAAATGATAGCTCTTTCATTCCCATCTATGAAAATACTTACAAAAGTGGCCAATTCAGCCTAAGTTCCGAGTTATGGCTTTTCAAATTTTTGATTAAGAGCATTTTCTCGCCCCACAAAAATTGTCACTGCTTTTCATTAGATTGATGAAACTCTTTCAATTTTTTTTTATTTGGTAGCTTAAAATAAGAGCTTTATTTTAGGATAGTAAACATTTAATTATGCATCTTTTAACTTTATGAATTTTAAGGTTTTTTCAAAAAAGCACGTGTTCAGTATGATTATGTTCGTCTAGAACTTCACTCTTAAAATAAATGATGCTGAATCTTTTTTTATATTGTAGATATAAACAAGATCTACAACTTTTATTAAGATACTATAAAGTTTTAGTAGAGTTTTGCTGATGAAATTAAGTCTTTTCTTCAAAAAAACTGCAATTTTTTGACATAAATTCCCATAACTTTTCAGGATAGCCCAAAGGAGTGGAATTTTTTTACATGCTTTGAAAGCTCTTTGGATGTACTATCAGAATATACAATCAGCTTGAGTTCGGTTACTGAGACAATCTCGAGCAATTTGATTTTGAAGTGTGACCAAAAAAATATTTCAAAACAAAAAAATTGAAAATAAATTTTGTACGTTTTTCAAAATTTTAGTTTTTTGCTTTAGATCAATAGATCTTATCAAGGCGCATATTTTGAGTATAAATATGTCATAGTTTGAACAATTTTTATACTCAAATTTCAACAAAATCATTTTTATATATTTTTTCAACAAATTTTACTTATTTTTCAATTATTTTAAATCAAAACTTATTTTAAATCTTCTGATTTTGATATTTTTTGAAATTTCTATGTTTTTATGTTAAAATGTCATTCCTAGAGCAACAATTCATAAATTTTTTTTTACTTTAAGGTAATTTTTTTATAATTTTTTGCAAATTACACTCATTTTTCTTATCTTTTTTTATCAAATTTTATTTTATAATAATTCTAAATATTGAAATTTAATGTAATATGCATAAAAATACTCTTAAATATTTAAAAATCATATTTTATCCAATTAACGTAGGAATAAAGCTGGAATGAGCAAAGCTTTGATATGTTGCTTTAATTTGAAGGTAATTCTCCTTTCGATTCAGAACATATAAGCATCCAATCAACTATTTTTAATAAATTTCGGTATACATACTTATTTCCATGCAATTGTAAAGCATAAACTATCACCACGAATTATTAAAATTAAGGACCTATAATGAAAATAGTTTTTAAAAAGGAAAACGCTATCAACTGCTATCAACCATTTTCCAATCTATCAAATTTATTCTGACAATTTTTATCCAATGTTGAATGGTTCCTTATAGTTTTTTAGCATATTTCATTGATTTTTCAAATTTTTGTCTTTGCATATACTTTTTTTCCTGATCAGTGGGCGCAACGTGATACATTTCAGATCCGTTCTGACAATTTATCATTATAAGGTAATCTTGTAGCTCTCGTTCCTATTTCTCCCGCTACACTTCATGTTCCTCATCCGTTCCTTAATCCAAATATCTCATGGCTTGATCTCGTACATTAAGCAGTCGAAGTATCTAAACTTCTGAAAAAGAACAAATTTGGAAATGGCTGGATTGGAACCGACGACCATCGAGTTACCATACCAAATTTGAGCCAATCGCCTTACTTATTTGACCAGCGAGGCACTTAAATCCTTATACATAGACAAAAATAGATTCAAGAACCATCATTTAGTTTTGATAAATTTCGAAACGATGCAATCTTTTCAAACTTTTGTATATATACTTTATATATTTCATACTGGTAAATTCCAGTCACCATTAGTGAGTCCAGTCAGATTATAAATATTGAGCTTTCAACTTCTGGACCTGAAAGGCAGTTTATGCTTTACAATTGCATGGAAATAAGTATGTATACCGAAATTTATTAAAAATAGTTGATTGGATGCTTATATGTTCTGAATCGAAAGGAGAATTACCTTCAAATTAAAGCAACATATCAAAGCTTTGCTCATTCCAGCTTTATTCCTACGTTAATTGGATAAAATATGATTTTTAAATATTTAAGAGTATTTTTATGCATATTACATTAAATTTCAATATTTAGAATTATTATAAAATAAAATTTGATAAAAAAAGATAAGAAAAATGAGTGTAATTTGCAAAAAATTATAAAAAAATTACCTTAAAGTAAAAAAAAATTTATGAATTGTTGCTCTAGGAATGACATTTTAACATAAAAACATAGAAATTTCAAAAAATATCAAAATCAGAAGATTTAAAATAAGTTTTGATTTAAAATAATTGAAAAATAAGTAAAATTTGTTGAAAAAATATATAAAAATGATTTTGTTGAAATTTGAGTATAAAAATTGTTCAAAGTATGACATATTTATACTCAAAATATGCGCCTTGATGAGATCTATTGATCTAAAGCAAAAAACTAAAATTTTAAAAAACTTACAAAATTTATTTTCAATTTTTATGTTTTGAAATGTATTTCTGGTCACACTTCAAAGTCAAATTGCTCGAGATTGTCTCAGTAACCGAACTCAAGCTGATTGTATATTCTGATAGTATATTTAAAGAGCTTTTAAAGCATGTAAAAAAAATCCACTCCTTTGGGCTATCCTGAAAAGTTATGGGAATTTATGTCAAAAAATTGCAGTTTTTTTGAAGAAAAGACTTAATTTCATCAGCAAAACTCTACTAAAACTTTATAGTATCTTAATAAAAGTTGTAGATCTTGTTTATATCTACAATATAAAAAAAGATTCAGCATCATTTATTTTAAGAGTGAAGTTCTAGACGAACATAATCATACTGAATATGTGCTTTTTTGAAAAACCTTAAAATTCATAAAGTTAAAAGATGCATAATTAAATGTTTACTATCCTAAAATAAAGCTCTTATTTTAAGCTACCAAATAAAAAAAAATTGAAAGAGTTTCATCAATCTAATGAAAAGGAGTGACAATTTTTGTGGGGCGAGAAAATGCTCTTAATCAAAAATTTGAAAAGCCATAACTCGGAACTTAGGCTGAATTGGCCACTTTTGTAAAAATTTTCATAAATGGGAATGAAAGAGCTATCATTTAGACCAAAAAAATAATTTTCGGAAAAGTTTTCGATTTCTGGCCCATAGTGCAATGAAAGCTGACAAAGTTTTAACAAAATTCACAAAAAATATTCGTGGGTGACGCTTAATTAAATTGATTTTCTGACATAACGGCTCAACTTAAGGAAGTAAGTTCTATGTCAAAAGAAAACAATTTTTGTTTTTTACAAGATATAATAACTTTGAAATTTGTCAGTATTGTGGTTTCGGAGATATTTGAGAAACCAAAGCGTCACTCACGAATAATTTTTTTTTTCGTCGAGGCCCAAAAAATTAATATCCAACGTTAAATTATCTACATTTTAACAGCATTTCATATTTATTTTATTAAAACTATACGATCTACATTTAGGCAGCATCTTATCTGTACTTTATACGATAAAAATTATCTGCATCATACCTTTTTTAAAGCAACAGCATTTAATCTGCATTTTAGGGAAAATAAATTTCATCTGCACTTTAGCAGTACCATCTGCATCTTGGCAGTACTATCTGCATTTTAGGGTAGCTGCATTTTAAGGTTTTTTAGATTGAGGTCATTTAATTTGGCTTTTGTCTCTTTTGGCATCTCTTTTGATCATCTTAAGCATCTTGAAATTGAAACTTAAATTTCCAAATATGTAAACTCATTGAATCCTTTATAAATGTTAAAATAACAGCACATCACGTTAAATTTAGCTACCAGCTCATGCCTCCACACTCAAGTTTCTAAGAAATCACATTTAAAATTCCTCTTACTGACTCATTATTTCTCTCAATTCCTACTTACAGAAAGTAAATTACTGCGAATTCTAAAAGCAAAAGAAAACAAAGAAGAATCAATAAGGAACCAAAATCAACAGAAATTTGAACAAGACAATTTTATTACTAATTAATTAATTTAAGGATGATAGACAGTATGAAGCATCTGACAATTGCGATTATATTAACGTTTTTTAAATATGGTGAGTAGTCTTAATTAAGTGATTTTATGTCTGTTTTTTATTTGTTCAATTTAATTGATTTTATTGACTCAATTATTGAAGAATTGACGACTGTTTTTTTGTGGCAATTACTTAGCGATCTGAACAGTTGTGTAGGAGTATTAATGACAGAGTTTTGCAGAAAAAAAAAGTTTATTGATGACTGGATATAAAAACTGACTCAAATTAAATTAAATTGTTATCGATACCATTCTATGACTTTAAATTGTTTGAGATTTAAAAGTTGGGTTGAGTTATTGTGTAGGTTTATGTCTAGACGTTACAATAACGAGTGGAATTTACAATGAGTCAAAAAATTGATTGATTTGTATTAAGTATTGGTTGAGCAATCCCATATAACTTTCAAAAATACAGTTTAAGTGTCATCTGAGCTAACATAATTAAAGTCGATAATCTACAAGATCTTCGTCCAAGAAATCTTAATCTTCATCCTTTCTCCATTTACAATTTAATTATTTTTAATTAAAATTTGCAGTCTTTTATGAAAAAACTTTTTAAACAAGGAAAAGTTTTTAATTGTAATTTTTGTAGACACGATTGTCAGCCTGCAGACGGAGTTGTTTAATTTTTGAAAACTGTTTCAAAGAGACAATCAAGTCATTGAATTTTTAATGAGCTTTCACGACTGCAGACATTTCGATTAAAATGTTGATCCCTGACTTTTATCGCTTGTTGATGTAGTTTGCGTTTCGATGAACTTTTGGAAGGATTTTAAATTATTTTGGGTATGAGATATTATGACTGCTTTGCCTTTAAATATTGATTGATTATTTCTGAGTAAGCAAATTTTTGGGTGGTTATAAAAACTTTTTATAAGACCTTGAATTGGATTTTTTTTTTGCTTTATTCCTCATTATTTATTTCTATTTTCTCGTATCTCCCGAGATATAAATTTAGGAAGCTATTCTTGGCTTCATCGGTCAGTATTATTGGACTATGAATAAAAAATTCGAACACAACATTACAGCATCATCTTGGCAAGCTTTCAATTATGGATATTGTGTTGACCGACATTTTATTGTTGGACGAATATTTCAGTAATTTGAGTAGCCATGATGTAGATTCTTTACGGAATTAGATGCCATTTCATTTGTAATCACATTCATCGTACTTTAGAGTGATTGAATTATTTTTTTCTGAGAAAATCAAGACAAATGCGGCCTTAATATTTCAATGTCTAGAAAATGACTTAATTTCCATCCTCAAGCTCTCTTCAGAATTCTCAAAAATCCCTCTTTAAATCGACATTAAAACCGCATCCATCCTCAATAAATATAGTAAAAAAAAGATAAATGTACACAAGAAATATGGCATTATTAGCGTCATGTCAAACAACGTAGCGACATTCAACTTTATTACTCGTAAATGACCGTAAAAAAATCTTAACTCAGCTCACATCGCATATTTATTTATTATTCTTATATCCATCATGTCATAAATTTTTTGGACCGCTTTTTTGTCCCTTTTTTATTTAGATATAGAAATGAATTTATTGATGGCGACAAATATCTTTCACATGGAGAATAAGTTTTGTTTCTAAAGAAAATTTTGTTGCATGAAAAAGGAGCGCATTTAACCTTAAGGATAGGTTCTTCTTTCAACAACTGCTCCTACCTTGACTTTTTTGTGGGTATGCCCTAGAATATCGTCTGAAAAAATGAATATAGCTTATAGATAGCTCCAATTAAAAACAAGTAAAACTTTCTGGACATCTCTATTAAAAATAAATTTATCAAACATTCTTATACCTCCCATGCTATATCACATTGGTACCACCCAGTCATCTAAACTGTCAAGCTAATCACAAAGCCCATTACAAAGTATTAAGTTCCAAAAAGTTTGATGTCGCCTTCGCATGCGAAAGGAAAGGACAAGCATGGATTTGAGATAAATTTCTGACCTAAATTTTCATTCAATTTACTTTCCTTTATTCATAAATTTATTCAATCGTTCTCCGTCGTGACATTATTTTCAATTTATCTTAAATAACATAGAATTTAAAAAAGGAAAATGAGAGCATTTTATGAGTAGAGGAGTGGGGGATGTATTTATCTACATTTAAGGATGAGTAGAATAAGATAGAAAATTTATAAAAGAAAAAAAAGGAGAAAGTTTGAAAATCAATTTTATCAACATAAATCTTTATAGCATTTGCAGCAGTAAATATCGTTTTCATAACCTTTGTATGGAAAGACTGAAAGATTTTTTGCACTGTAATCAGAACTTTTCTTTTTATTTATCTACACTTTTTGCTTCCTCTTTCCCTTTTTTTCATGCTTTTCATTTTGTTGTGATTATTTTTCGATTTATTAGAGTGAGCATAATGGAGAGACATGATGAGCTGATATGGGAATTTCGTTTGTTGGATGTTTGAGCGCTTTTTACAGATTTTCTTGCATCTTTATTATCATTTTGGTCAAACTAGATGCAAACTCTATGTAAACTTTAGTTATATCCTTTAAGTATAGCTTGTAATGATAGAGCCTACTTAGCTCGATATGAATCGGTGAGCTAAAGAGGCTAATTAGCGGAATTAGTTCTATATTGAGTTTCCTTTGCCACCAAAAGTTATCGAAATGAAAAGTCTCACTAGCCATGTCAAAACAAGTGTCATAAGGGCCCGTTCACTTATTACGTTACGCAAAAAAAACGTTACAACTCCCCCCCCCCTGAACGTCCATAATTTATTTCATCATTAAAAAGGTGGAAAATTTAAAAAAATGTTTTTGGTGTGAATTTGGAAAAAAAAATTCGTGAACTTTTTTTTAAAAGACAGACGACACTTAGAACGTTACATACATTTCAACCCCCCCCCCCCCCCCCCCTAAAATGCAAACGTAATAAGTGAACAGCCCCTAAATTAATTTTTTAAATCCTTTACATCCAATTATCCATTGTTACATCCTCGACAAAACTCAAAAATCCTTTCAACAAATAAACACATTTGACTCCTTTGTGCATGTCACAAAAGTAATGTTTATTAAAAGCACAAAGCTAATCGGATTATCAATTACAAAAAGAGGATGTCATTATACAGCAATGTATCACAGACAATTCATTTCCATTGACACATGATGTAACATAAGAGCTGGAATAAAACATGGAAATAGAAGTGAATTGTGAAATTACTTTTCCTTTTCATCCCGATAATAATCATCATTAAAAACGTTACATTTGAGTGAATTGTGAGAGTAAGTGCACTGAGACGTGAAGAATAAGTAGAAATCAGCAGTTACAATGAGTAAATCGATAGAAGCAATAAACCATGAGAAATTGAACTCGTTTCTCGATATCTTCTTGGTGTATTTTATATGATAATGTCTCATCTCTTCATGCTCTTACAAATTTTATCATATTCTTCTTCGTTGTACGGATTTCAAGGATTCTAAGAGTATTTTTATACACACATGAAAATCAGTCGAATGTGAACGAATAATGTATAGCAAAGAATGGAGACTTCTTTTTGAATTTTTTTGTATCCTTATTTAAAATACTTCAAGATTTTTGAGGCTAAGGATGTCGCTAAATTTAGTATGGGTCTATGTGTAGTTATTTTAAGGCAGCAAAGTCCATATATTGGTTTTTTTATACAGTAGTAAGGATAATTTTAAACAATATCAGGGCTAGGTCAGTCAAGTCAGTCCCCAAAATATCAAGAAAATGGCTCACTATAGCAACATATTAATAATGTAAAAGGACATAGCCTTTTAGCTGAAGGCACAGCGATTCAATTTGTAAAGAATCTATTGCACCATACCCTTTTGACCTACAGTTTATAGTGGGATCCGAACCACTTGCAAGCTCTGCACATTGCAAAGACACGATTACATCATAAGACCTGATGTACCCTGCAATGTACCCAATCACAATTCGTGTGCACAAGATGCCGTAAGGAAGTCATCTAGATGCTAGTTCTTTCTGTACCTATTACAATGAAACCATTATGTACCATTATGTATGGAACCCAGAACCTTTGGCACGAAAGGCTAACGCTCTACCATTTAGGCTACTGATGCCATTTCACCGCTATATCAAGATATTAATACAGTCTAAATTCAATATATATCCACTTTATAGTGACTTTATTTCAAGTACTTTTCCAATTCAATACTTGTCAAACGAGTGAACAATGTTTCCAATGACGACAACAACGATTTGTCCTATACGACTCTTGAAGCTTCTTTCTTCAACTATATTCCACACAGCGGGTGAAGATGAATTTTTTTTTTGTTGAACAGTTTCTGCTCTTCCGCTTCTAATTTGATTGATGCTTTCATTTTATTTTTCATGACTGTCAACGCTTGAATGAATTTTATTTTACTTCCATTTCTTTATCAACATGATATATGTCTCTATTTATTCCATCTTCATGAAGATCATGAATTCTGCTTCCATAATTCGATGAAATATATTCCTTCAAGTTTTAAAGCTGATATTTTGTTGCTGACTGTTATTTTAATTTCTGCTTTGAAACCCTCAAAAAATCTGGCGATGAAGGATTTTTGGATTTAAATTTCATTTTTGGTTATCTCATGAATCGGATACTGGTTCATTTTTGATGATTTGAACATTTCTGTTCTGAATATTCAACCATAAATCCTGTATATCCCAATACATTCAGTGCATATATCCCTGAGGTTTTATACAGTCTTAGAATAAAATGGAAAGAATAGTGAATGCATTATTTATGGTACAGCAAACATGTTGTGAATGTAAGGATGCTCAATGGATTAGTATGCTTAGTTTTTACAATGCTTTTTGATATTAAAATGTTTTATGTAGAATACTGGATTCTTATTGGGGTTGTTTACAGAACATGTCCATCTAAAAATTGATTTTTTTCCTCTGCTCTCCAGCTTGTGGAACAACTTACCACAAATTCGGTACAATCTTTAAATGGAGAGGAGAAGGGCTTTTTGATACCTCAATGTTAAATATTTTTTTTTAATTATAGGCATTTAGGGACATTCATAAATGACGTCCGTAAAAAACAGACTTCATGCCTCTTCAAATCTTGGACATCATTTACGAACGATTACAATACTTTTTATAACAAAATTTTGAATATTTCAAATCTTCTTTTGACATTTAAATCTTAGAATATAAGATTTCATGAGCCAGAGGAACCATGCTGAAGAAGTTCAGCATTAGGCATGAAAATTTGCACTTTGGAAGTGTAGGAAACATCATCAAATCTCGAAGTCATGACGAGCTCTATCGTTGATTGACATTATTTCTAAACAACCCCATTAATCACTGTTGATTTTAACAAACAAAAATTGGAAGGATACCTAATAAAAAAAATCTTATTTTATGCTATAAATTCTAAAAAGGACATGGTCATTAAAATGTGTTTGATTATCTAATTCGTTAGTTTTTATGGCATAATCCCTCTTTAGATTTTATTGCTGTGTATGAAATGTTTTGTACGACCAAAAACTTTAAAATTGCTTTCAAGGTCAAAAATCTCATAAATTTTGGAACAAAATGGTCAAATCTGATAAAATGTACACACAAAACAATTTAATTCCATCAACATTACACAACAAGATATGATTCCAAAAAAAAGTATTAAACCCCAAATTTTTATAGCAATAAAACAAAACAATTACAACGGTCCTATCTAGCTCAATAAACTTTCGTAATTCTATTGCAAAACCAAAAAAATATCTCGACTGTCGAAATTTTATTTCAAAATGTCATTTACTATAATTTAGTCCACACTACAATTCGCATTCAATTATCGCATAAAAAAATTAATTTTTCATCCATTATCATTTACAGGAATAGTGTCATTATCAGATTTCGATCAGCAGCCGCCCGACGCTATTTCAACAATCAACAATAAGCACTATCAATTTCACAATGATTACGATGAAAATTCATTTAACGAGGGCAATGAGAATAGCGAAACAGTGCAGAGTGCTTTAAATCGTGGACCATATTTTGATATTTCAGCATCGAGAAATGTTACGGCACTTGTTGGCAGTACAGCTTATTTGAATTGTCGTGTTAAGAATTTAGGAAATAAAACGGTTTGTTTTGCAGTTGTGAAATAGTTTTTTTTTTGTTCTGTTGCTGCATTAAGGATTTATCGATTTTAGAATATTTTGGCAAAGTTTTTATTATGCGAATCACATGAAATTGTTGAAGCGTTTCAAGAAAAATTTCTTAAAATTGTTGGTGCTAAAAATTCTTGTAATGTTTCTAGCCATAAATATCTTGGCCCTTGCGTTTCTAATTCTTTTGTTTTTGAAGAGACTAATCCTCAGGAGATATTTACCATCATCGGAGCGCTAGCTACAAATAAATCTCCAGGATACGACGACGTCAGCGCCAGCGTACTGAAAAGATGTAATGAGGGACTTTGTGCTCATCTGGCCAATATATTCAACCTTATGATTCGTAGTGGGAAATATCCGGATGGACTAAAGCTATCAGCCGTCAAGCCAATACCTAAAAGTGGAAAAATGCTCAGTCTAGACAATTGTAGGCCGATTAGCTTATTGCCGTTGATTGACAAGGTTTTTGAAAACATTCTCTGCAGCCAACTCAATAAATTTTTAGAGGACAATAGTGTGCTTAACAAATTGCAATATGGATTTAGATCTCGTCGTGGCTGTCCTGACGCTCTTTGCATGATACTCAATCATGTGAGTAAACTACTTAATTCGGGAAAGGGAGTTATCATAATGTCTTTTGATATCCAAAAAGCATTCGATACAGTCTGCCATAAAGTTCTTTTAAGGAAACTGAACTTTGTAGGAGTCCGTGGCGAAGCGTATGACTTGATTAAAAGCTTTCTTACTGATAGGAAACAATTTGTTAAACTTAACTTTGTATGTAGTAAATGTGGTAAGGTATTCTTAGGAGTTCCCCAAGGAGCTAACTTGGGTCCTCTCCTATTTAACATTTTGATCAACGACTTATCGTCGCTGAATACTTATTCTACTTTGTACATGTATGCCGACGACGTTGTTGCAGTGTTTCCAGTCGACCCTGCTAACAATCCACTTGATATTCAGAGACTCGATAATGATATACAATTATTAAAGGGATACTATGAAAATAATCACTTAAAAATCAATTGTGATAAATCTCAGTTCATTATATTAGGCTCATGTGCACAAAATATTAAAGATCTGCTTACTGGTAAGCAAATAAAAGAAACTTCTTGTTTAAAGTACTTAGGGGTCCTTATTGATAGTGACCTAAAAATGCTAAATCAGGTTGACAAAATCTGTACCTCATTAGCGCAAGGAATCAATGCTTTAAGATTTCTTAAACAGAACCTCACCCAACAATCTCTATTGAAATTCTTTCATGGTCATTTGCAATCGCACATTAGCTATTGCGCGTTTTCTCTCTTAAGGTGTAGAAGCATTGACATTGAAAGAATCCAACGTTTGCAAAGTAAAGCCCTTAAAATCATTCTTGATTTACCTGACAGGCATCCCACACTAGACCTTTTTACTAAAAATGCGAAACAGATTATGTGTGTCGTTGGCTTGATATATTACTCAGCACTAATCATGGTGAAAAAATGCGTCCTCTGCAAAGATGAATCACTTCCCTGTATAAATCGAGCGAGAAGTACCAGACGAAAAGACTTGATCCTATCTATAGCAAAGAAAAAGGTAATGTCTGATGACATTACTAACATTGGTTGCAAACTGTTTAACGAGCTTCCAGCTGATATTAAGAGTGAAAACAATTTATTGCTTTTTAAATTACAATTAAGAAAGTTTATCTTAAGCAGAAATGTATCCTTAATTAAGCACGGTCAATTTAGTAATAAGAGTTTCAACTTGTAACTTGTAACTTTTAACTGAATTGCAATATTCGAATGGTCAGAAGTATCCGTTGCTCAGTCTGCATCTGTAAAACATCCAGTCATTAATAAGCAATTATATTGCATTTAGTAAACAATTGATTCTTTCTTTTCTGCTTGTCTTCGCTGTATACTACACGCTTTTTATCGAGTTAATAGTTAATTTAATCCAATACTCTTGTGCCTATACTCTTATTGCAATGGATACCTATACAAGTGAGGATGAAGTTCTGGAAATAAATGCAGATTTCTCAGACTTCGTATCAGATGATGAAAAGGTTATTGAGCAGATTAATGAAATTATTCCAGATCCAGTGCGAAATGAAAAAGTTTGGTTGAAGTTCTTTAGGAAGGGAAAGGTCCCTTTGATGGATTTACGAGATGATTTATTGATAATGTTAGTCAAAGTTTATAATTTGAGCGTTAATGGAATATATCTGATTGACAAATCGGTCGTTTTGGTCGAAGTGGAGATGAATCGTTCCTCTAAGAACTTTATCATCTTTATTTACGAGGAACGGCTGGGCAATAAAATTGTCAATCGTAATTCTTTCGATGATGTTAGGAAACTTTGTGACGGGAAATTCTCATTATCGATAAATAATGTGGTACTGTTTTTGGTAATATTTCCAAACACGGAATTAATTTACGTTCCTTGCAAAACTTGTTCTTTACCATTTGGGCTCTCGAATGGTGATTTGATTAATGTTGAATCGATTCCCTTCTTTATTGATGAGAGATTCAATATTTATGAGTGTCTCCTAGCACTGCAAGGTGAGCTGGATAATAATGTAGACTGTCTTATAGGAATTAGACTCGAATCGGATAATGAAGCTGAAAATACCGCTCGAATAAGGTTTAGCTTTAAACTTAGACACCTAACGAATACAATCTTAATTAAACTGAGGAAAATCTTCGGTATGATGCAATTCTCTTCTGCCACAATTCATCTCCTGCCTCTTATTAACGTCATATCAGGTGAATCAAGCTCTGCTCAAGTTCCTGAATTCAATTGTGGATTGATCAATGCGGATCTCATGTACCCTCAGTCGTGTCGTGATTCTTCTCAGGATCAGGGTAACAAAAATCTTAATTTAGCTAACTTATCTCATTTCAGGCGAGTCGGCAAGAAAACGAAAAGGAAAAAAAGTCATTCATCGCTTTATAGACAGACTTCGAGTAACATTTAAATTGATCATAGTCATCGCTTCCATGTTCTAAATGAACAAATAATTAATTGAAATATTGTTTTGGAATGTAACATAATTACTGTGTAATATCTTTATTTTTTTTTTACGCGACCGTAATGGTCCAATAAAACAATGAAAAAAACGGTTTGTTTTGCAGTTGTGAAATAGTTTTTTTTTTGTTCTGTTGCTGCATTAAGGATTTATCGATTTTAGAATATTTTGGCAAAGTTTTGATGTTGACATAATTTTTGAAATATAAAGGCTTTGATCCTTGAAATATTTTGCATTATTGGCTGGAATAACCATGATTATAATAGAAGGAATTTATTTATTTAATTCAGTGGAGCTAGAGTTGAATTTTTAAAACGGAATTCTAGCCAAATAATTAGTGTATAGTCATTAAATCAGGGACTGGTAGCTCGGTATATCCTATTATCATATAAATTCATTCAAAGGTATGAATTAAGAGTATGACCTAGGATACAACCTACTGTTTAGCTTTACACTAAAAACGAAGCTATTCTTATAGTTTACCAAGTAACCCACACTAATTGTGATACTTCTTAATGATCCATATGAACAGGATCAATGGAATCTGTCAATACAAAATAAAAAACAAAATCGTTCAATCCTTTCATTATTATGCAGCAACCCATTTGCATTTTATTGCATTTAAATTCTAAAATTTAATCCTTTTTGTGCTATTATGCAGTTGACATGGATTAGGCATCGAGATCTGCATTTATTAACAATTGGAAAGGAGACGTACACACAAGGTAAGTTTTTGCTGGTTTTGAATTAAAAGTCTTTAAATAATGAATAAATTTAAGGCTATAGACTATGGCAATGAAAGTAATTGAAGATAATATAGTCAGAAATGTTCATTTACTGTTGTGCTGAATAAATATTTACACAATTCTTTGAAAAACCTTTCTATTGAACTGATATTGTATTGATCAACCTTCATAGAATCAGCGATAGTATCATTCAAATACAATAAACGTGCAAATCTTTGGTGTGAAGTATTTAGCTGTCTATGTCAGGATAAAGTTCACGGCTCATAATTTTTGCAATAGAATAATAGGCAATTCAAACATCCAGACCTATTAAAAGCTTCCAGGAATTAATTAAAACTCATTTTATGACCAATGAACATTTATTGCTGCTCATTTATACTCCACATTACCTTCATTGTTATTTAGTCTGATGAAAATGTGTTGCAAACTAAACCTGTTGATTAAACTCATTACTTTTTACAGATCAGAGATTTCAAAGTGTCCACAATCCACATACAAATGACTGGTCACTAAAGGTTAGTAACAGAATCATAAAATAAACAACAAAGAAGTCTGATGATTTATTTAATTTACATTCAGGTTCTGTATCCACAACAAAAGGATAGTGGTGTAAGTTGGACATGACTTTGGTTTTGATAATAAAAAATAATTTTTTTTTGCTTTCATTTAAAACAAAATTTGGTTATTCAGGTTTATGAATGTCAGGTATGTTTGAATTTATTTAATTAAGTCTGGACTAGAATTTTATAATACAATAAATATTTTACAGATTGGTTCATCTCCACCTGTAGGATATTCTATGGTTCTTTCTGTTGTCGGTGAGTTTTATTGATTTTTTTTTCAACAACAGAATTAAAGTTTTATTCTCAAAAAAGAAACTTCCGGCTATCCTCAAACAATTCGTGTAAAAATATTTTATTTCGTCTCTAATTTGACAGAACCCATAACAACAATCCTCGGTGGTCCTGACATGTACATCGATGTTGGCTCAACCATTAATTTGACATGCATTGTAAAGCATTTGCCTGAACCGCCGCCAGGAATTTATTGGACACATAATGGAATTGTAAGCTATTCTATTCAAAATTTTGGATGAATATTTTGCTGAAATTTTGATTTTTTTTTTCTTTCGATGAACAGGAAATCAATTATGATTCGCCTAGAGGTAAGTTGGATTTGAACTGTATGGGTCCGTTCACTTATGACGTTCAGGGGGGGGGGGGGGGGGTCAGCAAGAAAAGAACAATAGAAATTCCAGGAAATCTATTGTTCTTTTTTAAAAAATGACCGCTAATTTCGGACGTCATAAGTGAACGACCCCTATTATGAAATTATAAAATTTTAAATTATTTCAAAATTGGTGGGTTGGATTTGTAGGATAGACAAGAAATTGGAAATCCTACTTTATTCAAATGTTTGTCTTTAATCAATTTTCAAACAATATTTAGCTTCGCTTCTAATGAAACCTTAGTGACAATTTATAAGGAATACTCAAATTCCATCATTTTATAAAATTGTTTATGCATTCAATGTTTGCCGATTAAATCACTTTTATTGCCACAAAAATAATGCCATTAAAAGCCCCCACCACTCAATCAATATCAAAATAAAGTTTTTTTTATCCTTATTCCTATTTTATTCATCCTCAAATAGTTATTTTGATTATAAATAAAATGCGAGAAAGCCAACAAAAAAAAATAATAATATTTATTATTGTCATGAAAATTCTTTTCTCTTCTTTCTTTTTCCTCATCATGTTCACATATTTTCACATTGTATGTGCTAGGTGGTGTGAGTGTCATAACGGAGAAAGGCGACATAACACAATCCTATTTGCTAATTCAACGAGCTCGACCTTTCGATAGTGGAAAATATATTTGTGTACCATCAAATGCCAATTCCGAAACTATAAACGTCCATGTACTCAATGGTAAATATAGATTTATAAATTATATATGATTGTACGCGATTTGTTGTGACTAATTAGAAGCGCGATATTGGAAATTTAAAATTTGTAATTAATGAGTACATAAAAGTCAATGAGCATTAAAATACAAAAGCGCTGTTGACATACTTTCCAATTATACCACATTGATTTTCTCTTCTTAGATACATAAAATTGTAAATCAGAAGAGCCTTAAAAAGTCTTCTGCACCCCAAAATGATATTATCTGTGGAACCACGAATTTTATTGACATTTTTATAGCATTTGTCCCATAAAACGTATGTCGAAAAATAAATTCGTGTAAATTGACACATCTATTAATCATAAGCATCACGTACTCTTCGAACAACTTCTAATTATAAGCGAAATCGCACGGCGATAATTTGAGATTAATGTGAAAAATTAATAGAAAAAAAATTCCTTCTCATTTTTCGAACAGGTGAGCATCCAGCAGCGATTCAAGCCGCAAGTCATCTACAAATTAGATCATTTTTACTGATATTAGTTTCACTAATTATTGTAATTACAGTTGGTGGCAATAGATAACTCTCAATAGCTTCAATATTGTAAATAAAATTAACGATTAAAATAAAATGAATGAAAAATAATTTTTGACTTAAAATTTTTCTCATTCCATAAATGAAATTATTTCCAGGTATATGTTTCAGTGCTTGGTGAGAGGAGCTATTAAATTGGAAGGTGGTTGTAGATGAAAGATTGTAGCTGACTAAAAGGATTCAACACTGAGTTTTTTTTAAGATTTTACTGAATGTTGAATGAATGACGTGTATCATGTCATCTGTAGACCAAAAAAATGGAGCCCATCTGTGATAAAATCTACATCAAGCTTCAAATCTACTGGTCCCCAATACCAAACCTTATAAATCCACCAAAAATTATCACCATAAAAATTACATCCAGTCAAATGAGTTCCTACCCCCCAACTTCATAGTGTGATTTACATTTTCTCATCGAGTGCTCTTATCATCGGTGAAAAGACATTAAAGAATAAGAAGTGAAAAAATTTTCTTGCCTTAGTACCGCGTTTTTTATCAAAGATTCTCGAGATTGCTTAACGAAATAAAATATAAAAAAAGGTGCTGTTCGTCGCGCCATTGATTATGTTTCCTTTCACTCTCTTCGTTCTGCTCATTCTTTGTATTATTGGCATACAATCGGTGTTCATGCGACGAATATACAGCACATCATACTGCTTTTTTCCTATTAAATTTAATTATATACGTTAAATATTTAACATGATAGCAAGATACATATATAAATTTCCTTGATCTAATAAATTCGCTCCACTCTTGTCAGCTCACTTTATCTTATTATTTTGAGCAGTTTTTCTGAGCTAGGTTGTAATGCTTTTGGTTGCGCTATGGATTGAAATTTTTTGAGTATTGATCTTGTCTAATTAGACTGGAATTATTTGAATGTTCGGAATTAGGGTGGCTAGGTGAGAGACAAGGCGTGGAAACTATCCCAAATATCATATTTATCCCACATATCCCAAAAATATTCAAAATAATCCCTGAGCATGTATGCACGATAATAAAGATATCCCAACGTATCCTTAGTGTATTGTACGTGTAATTTCAGGATATGATGTGATATCTCAATTCTAATGCATACAGGCTCAGGGATTATTTTGAATATTTTTGGGATATTTGGGATAGTTTCCACGCCTTGGTGAGAGACTTCTGGAAGCTAAAGCTCACCTGAGAAATCAATTTTTGTCAGTAAATATAAGCAAAAACTCTAGTCGAAAGTTACATAACTATTTATACTTGGACAAATAAAATCTGGTCTTAAAATTCACAAAGCAACAATTTTTTAAATATTTGCAATCTTCTGAGAAGCAATTGAGTAAAAGTTTCTTATATTTTTGAAGATGTCTTAGAAACCTTCCGAGAAGAACATTCAAAGCACATTCAAGAGGCTGTTGAAAATGAAGTTTTTGTTTACAAAGAAAAGGACTTTAATGGTCCGTCCAAGGACAGCTTCACTCAATTCCTTACCCTCCTTTTTGCATCATTCCTGAATGACGCAATAAGAAATCAAGAATGAATCATAAAATGCGCTCTAAATCCTCAATCACACGACAAATCTTTTTATTTTTTCTATTACAGCTAAGAGCTACGAAACTTTCTATCTTTATGTCTTGCGGGAAATCACCAAAGCACCTGACTCTTTTCTTCTGTTTACTTCTTTACTTGTTCTTTCTCATCATTTGTTTTACGAAAGAAGCAGGAATGAAATAATATAAGAAATATGAAAATGTTTGCTCTTTAATAATTTTTTTTCTTCCGTCTTATTTTGCATTCTTTAAGATATGTTTAAAGTATATCGAGTATATATAAAACGCTCAAGGGATGAAAATTAAAAAATAAACTGAAAAAAATTTGATTTTGTGGAATCTGAAAAATGCTAAATTAAGAAAAATCAATGTTGAGAAGTTTTATGTATTGTAGAAACTTTTTTAATGAGATAAATTGGAGAATTTTTTATTTGTTCAGTTGTGGGATGTAAAAAATTTGTTAGGCTTTAATTTTTATGCCCAATAATGATGAGATGAGTTTGATTGATTTATTAATTAATATTGGTTTTTTAGGGTTCCTCGAGAATTTTTTACTTTCTTCAAAAAAATCTTCAAAAAATTTAAAATTTAATTCCACAACCACGCATTAAGCATATAGAAGAACAATAGTTTACGGCTGGTTTACTAAAGTGGATTATCCTCGATTTCGGATTACTATACCTAGAAAACTTATTAGATCTCTTGATAACCTTAATCGCGTGGAGATATTTCCAAATAACTGAAGTGAATAATCCAAAATCGAGGATAATTCACGTTAGTGAAATTGGCTGGTAGATATTTTGTCTGTAGAAATATGAAACTCGTGACCACAACTTTGATCGTCAACTCCTTTAAATAATTCATAAAAACTACCTGGAACTGCATCAATCAACCATATTTCATCTGCTCGATTAATTTCACATACATTTACCAAATCAAAGCCACACTATTACAACAACATTTTTCTCGCAGTTAATTTGACTTTATGTCTATTTATATTGTAATTCAGCACATAATTAGTAATTGATACTTTTATTATGAAGTTAATCAGATTTTTCAGTCAACTATCGATCCTCAATTCCTCCGTTTTACTGTCAGAATTTTACAGCCAAATTTTGATGATAAACATAATCATCCCTTGAAATATAAAGCTTAACAGAGATAGCAAAAGTATACAACATTCCGGTTGTTTACGATATGAAATTTTATTACGCATATTTTTCTCACTCGCTCACTTGCTTCCTCTCGCATTTATCATACATGCTCTTTCTGTACATATACTCATATCTTTCATTAATAATATGTTTTATGCTTTGTTATCTCTTGCTTTCTTTCCCGTGTGCTGTTCCTCTTTCAACTTGAAATGATGAAATGAAATTACATCTCAAATGTGTGCCATTCGCCGCCTTTCTCTCTATTATTCTTCTTTTATTATTGGCTAGCTCGTACGGATTAAAGTTTATTTCTTTTGTAAAGGAGATTAATGGGAATTATGAGAAATATGTCAAAAATTATACAAACAAATCAAATCAAAAGCTTAAGAGCAGAGTGCACTATTTCTGTAAAAAGGACTAAGGTACGATCTTATGCACCACTATTCAGATTTAGAGGGATTTGCAATATTTTAAGACATATAATTTGGTTTGTATCAAATTTTGTACAAGCTTGAACAAGTTTTCTAATTTTATAGATTCTGTCAACGATTAGGACCGCAGAGGCTCCATCCACAGAACGGACCTGAAATGTATCACGTCACGCACACAGAAGATTGAAACGAGAACCTGAATTTAATCTAAACCTAGATTTGAAGATTGGTAGCTTGATTCTACATCACCAAAGTGGTATGAAATGTATCACTAATTAATGTGGAAAGTAAACATGAATAAATACGAATTCTTCTGGACGGTAACGCCGATAAGTAAATAGTAATAATAATAATAATCTTACTGAATTGTATGGGACACAAAACTTTACTAGAATCTTCTTACATTACTAATATTCCTTTATTATAAAGAATTCTTTTGAACTCTTAATCTATAACGTATCTTAGGGAGTACTTGACGTAACAGACATATGAGTATTCCCAATTGTCTGTTAGGGCTACAGACTTGTCGATTCATCCAGGAGTCGAACAGAATGTCAAGGTCTGAAGCAATGCTTGATGAGAAGATCAAAACTGCACATTTTCGAGAAAATTCATAAAATAAAGTAAACCCAGCACAAAACATGCCTCAATCCATATCCACTAGATTATTACATGTACCATTCTGCCATCGCATAATGATGTAACATAAAAAATGTAATATGTAGACACAAACACAAATTTACATCCTCTTATTCTCATTTCATATAGACAAAAGGAAATTTCTTTCTTTCCTTCTTCTTTACATTAATTTATTTATCTAAATAACGCGGAAGACGCGAACGTGAGATATTCATGCCAATATGTGCTGTCTCATTCTCTCTCACAATATCTCATTTAAAGTATATGGGCACTAATAACATTAGATTTTATTGTAATGACATCGCACGTATTGCTTTACTTTTATATCACAACCTAAAGTCTTGCTTACTTTATATAGCGTGGATATGTTGACATTTATGGAAATTGCTGATGTTAAAAAATTTTAGGTGGATTTTTTTTTTACATAAAGGATTATTTTTGTCAGCATTAAGGATAGTCAATATTTACATATTATTTGACTCAGAAATGCTTTATTTGTTCTACAATTTTTCATTTTAGACAATTCTAGAAGGGGAAGAAATCCAACATTGTGAAATTAAAATAAATATGACATGATCCAATGTATTATCCAGCTGATAACAAATTCCATTAATTCCAAATAAAATGAGAACACACAAAATATTGTTCCAATTTTTTTTTTGAATTTAGAACAAATTCTGTTTCTATTTAGATCACCTTAATTTTTCATGCATTGTTCAACCTAAATGCATTCACCAAAAAAATGAAAAATATTTATTTTGTGTTGTTTGAAATAATTTATTTACTCGTAACTCGTGGTATTGAATTCACGATGGTATTTGTATTTTTTTTTAAATTTTAAAAAAGAATTTTTTTCTCTTAAAAATAAATTCACGTGCGCTTCAACAAGCCTCACATGCTGCTGAATTTATGTCAATCAATATGCTTTATTGATGGTTTTAAATTTTTTATCTTATCGCGGAGAGAAAATACACGAGAAATTACTTTTTGAAGTGAAAACAACGACGATGATTGAAATGCATTAAGTGATTCATGGAATGATGATGATGCTTACTGAAATGGATAGAATTTCTCATTGTTTTCAAGGAGTTACTCAAAAATTGCGTCTATCGATTAATTCATGTACTCCTCAGTGTAAGCTCATTGGTATCAAGATTTGCTAAATTAACACAGGAATAAGTCATCATTATAAGAGGAGTGGTAGGCAGCGATAGAACCAGTTTTAGGCGGCATCTGAGGGAGACCATGGATCAAAATTGATCTGTAAGGTTATCAAAGTAAGGATGTTTGGGGCATAATCTTCGTAACGAATCAAAAATCATATTTTAGCGCATTTTTGTATACTTGTATACAAAAAGGGAGCTTAATAATGCGAAATGTTCGTTCGTTCGGCTGCTCGTTCGTCTGAAGAAAAACTTTTTAACCAGACATCTTAGAGAGCTCAGGTTTGTTTTATTAGCTCCGTTACTATTGTTCATTGTCCGATCGAACAGTTAAAAGTCTTAAAACAGTGTATTTATACTATAATTAATGATTTTTTTATTATTTAAACAAAACCACGTGATGAGTAAGTTTAAAAAATTCAACATTACCTCTATAATTTCAAATTTTTTCTAGCTGCTCGCTGCGTCAAAAATGCGCTGAAGTCCCTCGATCAATAACACGAGGACTTTTGTAATTTTTTTAAAAAACATCACTTGCGATTAACTTCAAATAAAGATAAAATTTTATTCAAGTACAAGAATTTTAAAAATTTGCAATCAGATATATTTGAAAGAACTTGTATATTGCTGCAAACTTTAACTCAACAAAATATTGAAATTCTTCAAAATGACCTTGAATTCTAGAAATAAAGTCCATCATCCGATAAAGGTTTAAAAGAAACATCACATCACTTTTGCTAATCTTAAAGTAAATATTCACTTTTATTCATTTCACACACGATAAACTGCTGTTTATTATCAACACCATCATTTCATTATTATCAAGTACCTACGAAAAAAAAACAACATATAAGTAGCTATATGTGTGACATAAGAAATTTTTTTATCAGTGATGTGCCAGACATTCAATATCATTTTAACGACACAAATGTGCATGTTAGGAATAATTGTTCTCGTATTATCACTCCGAAAGTTTATGTAGTTGAGTATACACAAATGTAGTCTCGTCAAAACAATAGAAACCACATTCAATAAATACAGATACATAAGTTTGAATGTTTTTGGGGGTTGAGTGGCGTGAACGCTTAATTTGGTTGAATGAATTCTAAAATTTCAGCTGGATTTTTAAAAACCTTCCCAATTTTATGAAGTTTGACCATAGATCACAGTTATGATGATGTGCAGGCATCGAAGTGTAAAAGTAAGAAGGCTAAATATGCTCATGTCTAAACGTAGCCTGAGATTGTTTTTTGGGGAAGGGGATGAGATATATTTTTGAAAGGTTTAAAATACTGATAATGACAGTCGAGATTGGAACATAACACTACTAAAACTTTTAAAAACTTTAAAGCAACCTAGAGTGGAACCTGACGTTTGGGAGACTAGTAATAAATTGTTTGGAAATATGCACAAAAAATTAGTTGATCATACGTCTAATGGCTCAATTGTTAATTATCAACAAAAAAATATATTCAAATAAAATCTTAAATTCGTATCAATAATTTTTAAATTGAGATTTTTAAATTCAAATTAGAGTAGATTTAAGCGAATAATAATAAAATGTAGGTGTAAGCAATACAGTTTGACCTCAAGAGTCTGGGGTCATGGTCAGTTGTATTCTATTAAAACTCCAAATTGACTCTATTACTAATCTCAATTCTCGCAAAAAACTGTTTTCACAAACATTTTCTTCGTCTCCTAGAGTAGTGAGTGTGCCTACACAATTAATAACTAAGAGTTCACTCTTAAAGTTTTTTTTAATCACTCCGGTAAATATTGACATTTTCAATAAAGAAATTTGATTTTTTTTTCACACACAAAAAAATAATCGAAGATAAAAAACATCACAAGTAGTTAGTCTATTTACGATTCACGACAAAAACATAGCGACGTGCCCTCATTTAATCACTTTGTGCATTTTAACTTGTTCATTGAAAACAAAAAATCTATTAAATTGAATTTAATTCAATTGCTTGTTACTCGTGGTCGACTACAACGACGACAGAGCATTTCGTGTGTTCATGACAGTAAAGAGCATAAGTGCAATTTTTATAGTGACATGAAAAATAATGAGATTGATCTTAAATTTTTTAAAGCTAGTCGTTTTGATTGAAAAATGTTTAATAAATTAAGTCGACATTGGTTGCAGCAGTAAAAATCTGTAGGAAAAAAAGTAAATTCGTGATTCAAAAGTGCATAAAAATTTTATACAGAAATGATTTCAACATTTGCTACCATAGCACCGCACCTGAAACTTAGTAGAAAAGTTATATCCATCGACAATGTTGGATTCAAGTTTCATTACCGACTAACTTTTATAATTTTACTTGTGTGCACAATTCTCGTGACGTCAAGGTGAGTTTCGGTGTGCAAAAATCTCTATGGATTTATTTCCTTATCGAATGGTGATAAATTTGAGTACGAGGAAATAAATGTCAAGGAGAAATTGGCAATTTTTTTCCGGGGAAATGAAATATTTGTGTTTGTGGGGTGATGAAAAAAGTTTGGTAATTGCGGAATAAATATTGATGTTAAATAGATCTACATCCATTGGCTAAAGATTACGTTAATGTGATAAGTTTAGGAAAATTTCCATCTTGTTGCGGGTTTGATCGCTTACATTCATATAATGGAGCCAAGGAAATGAGCAAGTAGGTGCTGATTATTTTTATTTCCCTACATTTTAAGAAAATCAGTTGTTAAAATTCTGAACTCTTATTCTGAATCCTTGTTATATTGACAAAAAGTCTATATAATAATTGAGAACACTAGCTTCTGGTGGGAATTGAACTCACGTTCTCATGAAGAGGATTCGAAATATCGGATCCATCGCTTAATTAAACAGCCATTAAGGACTAATTATTTCTTAAGCAGGTTTGCCTAGATAAGCCTCAGTATCATAGATTTCTCTCAGTACTTCTTGTATTGACAAGCATAACATCGGTGAAAGTGTACATAAATTTGTAGATGTTATCGAGCATATAAGTTTTCTGCCTTAATTTCATTTCATAGAAATTAATAACCTCTTCCCCTCCTCTTTCAATAAAACCAAACCTGCTATTCACCAACCTTTCATAAAACAGCAAACAAATTACGTCATAAAAATGACTTGCTGGAAAATGATTTTATGAAGGATACTAAGCAACACAAATGCGACATCATTATAATGCGATTTTATTTTTTGACATAAAATTTTTTTATACGAAAATTCTTTTCAATACCCCAAAAAAAATTATTATTTCTTCCTCCTGCTTTAACAAAAGAGGAATTTCAATTTATTTATCGATTATGAAGGGAAAAAAGGTCGACAAAAAATTCTTTTTCCTCATCAATGGAAGTAAAAAATCCTCAAATTCTTCTTGATTGCTATAAATAAGTTATTTTTTTGATAATGTTATAAGCATTGATAATGGAAGGACAATTAGGAAGTTTGTGTTAGGGATCGGTAATTTGATAGCCAGCTTATTATTCTTTAATTTCTGATGCTGTAAGTTTGTATAATCTCAAATTTTCAAGGTCATGGGAATCTAACAAAAACGAGCCAATTCCATTCCATTAAAAATTGATAACAAAAGGAGATAAAAACAGAATCACGAAGTCTAAATAAATCGCTTATTATGTCACTCGCCTAGCTACTAAAACTGGCCAGGGAAACGAGAGAATCATCAATTTTGATAAAATTGGCTTCATTTCACCTAAGCACGTAATCGCTAAAGTATAGCAATCGATAAGATTAATCTTCATGCAAATTTATGTCGTTTCGTAATCCAACAAGTGTATATGGCAACTGGCATGTGAATGCTGCGCTCAGACTTTATATTAAATGCTAAAAGGCAGTCATCAGACTAGAATTTATGTCAAAAAACACTTCAAAGTAACTCAAATATTTGTCAAATCGAAATTGAATTCTAATAATAGAATCTACTAGCTTCTACTAGCTTCACTGCTTGAAAGGCTTTCAACTAAAGGGTTCTACTTTTTAAGTAGGAACAGAATATGATGAGAGGGTATCCCAAAAAAATCTCAGCTATGCTTCTGCACTAAATGCCCACAAAAACATAAATGCTTGAAAAATTCATGTCCATAATAATTCCACAAATCCTGCATGACAGCATCATATTTTGTCATCACTATTCAATCCACACTGTCTTCTTTTTAATCACAGAAGCTACATAGGTGAACATATCCGTTGTATGGTTGGAGGAGGACCAACAATTCCCGAGCATGTTATCAATACATTCTGCTTTTTTACAACAACCTTCACAATAGTAAGTACATAAGCTCCGCACATTATTTCATGTCTATTAAGAGTGAAATTAATCTCGTCAGGTGCGTCACTTAAATCAGACATTACTCGAAAAAGGCATAATACCTCACCCGGGTATTGGACCACTTTATCCAGATGATGAAGTTACGCATCACGCTTACTATCAATGGGTGCCATTTGTTCTATTCTTTCAAGCTGTCTGCTTTTATCTTCCACATTTATTTTGGCGATCATGGGAAGGTGGAAAAATAAAAGCACTAGTGGATGGACTACAGAGAGTTTTACTATCGAGATATATTCGTGGCGATGAGGATGTGACGATTAATAAAGATTATACCATAAAAGCTATGTCGACGCTACAAAAAAAGGTAAGTGAAAAGTTCTTTATTGATCATGAAGATGAGGGTAATTAGTGCAACATATTCCGTTCCATACGACAGCTTTCGACAATAAAAATCGCATTTTTACGACACATCATCGTTAACCGTCACTGGGCATCAAAAATGATAACTTGTGAAATCATGAACTTCCTTAATTGCTGTCTACAAATTTACATAACACATGTTTTCCTCGGTCGACAATTTCTCCGTCTCGGCATCGATTTCATACACGATGATTTTACTGGAGCGATGGACTCACTCGACATTGTCTTTCCAAAAGTCACAAAATGTCATTTTCACAAATACGGCGCATCAGGGTCTATACAGAAGCATGATGGTAAGCATAAAATGTGTGATTTTAGGAAGGAAATTTATTGACGATAATTAAATAACCTTTTCACATCTAGCACTGTGTGTTATGGCACTTAATATAATTAATGAGAAAATTTTCGTTTTCCTGTGGTTTTGGTACTGCATTCTATTGACTGTTTCCATTTTATCACTTCTGTGGAGATTAATTACCGTGTGTCTTCATTCAAGGTAGGAAAATTTGTTTCATTGTTTGACTTATGGGAAGTTGGCATGAATTTAGATGTTATGAATTTCGTTTTGGCATTGACATACCTAAGGATACTCTTATTGGGGACCTCAATGCTATAAATTATGCAAAATTACCTAAGGATACTCTTTATAATGGATATAAATACATACCAAATGGGGTACACATTAAGGGCATCATTCCTTTCTTCTGAAAAACATTCATTCCAATTTCACACAAGTCTACAATCCTTAATTAAATCATTCAAACAATTCTATCTATCCACACAGATCAAATGCATTTAATGGTTTTGTGTTTTCAACTGCATGTCCCGGAAAAATGAATCCTTGGGACATGATTGTCGTCACAAATGAATTTTACTTTTCCGATTGGCTGTTTCTTTATTATCTAGCAAAAAATATGGAACCATTTTTATTCCGAAAAATGCTTCTCGAATACATCATTCCAGAAGTTCAGAGTGAGAGAAATTCATTAATTTATGGACATGAGGCAGACAGTGACACTGCAAGTTTAAATGAAAAGGAAAAGTTGAAGGAAGAAGAAAACAATGACGAAACAGATGATGACAGTTTACATTCTATAGACATGGAAAGTGCACCATCAAGTTGCTTGATGGCTGTTAATGAAAAGAAAGTTAAATTTGTGTGAATCGTGACTGTAAAGTTTTATAATTGACTGCTTATTTATTTGGAGATAATTAATTTGTGACTTATGACATACCATAGATAATGAAATTGTTGCTGTTCTGTGTTATGTAATGACCTTTGGAGGTGTTTCGGTCAGATATTTGGGATATTAAGGATGAATTTGAGTTGAAAGCTTTAAATTTTTAAAATTTTGGAAAGTAATTAAAATTTGAGAATTTCACTTCAACTTTGATAGAGTCAAAATATGATCGGACCTGACAACAAAAGCCCCAAAAAATCTGACAAAATATCCTCAATGATGGTGAAAGATGATAAATGATAATTTTAGTAATGACATGATGCTTTATTTATTTTTCCTTGCGATGGTGAACATCCAAAAAGCACTGAGTCTATGTATTTGATGAAAGTTTTGTGTCTGAAAAATTTCTCATTGAATCTTTTATAAAACTGTTAGAAACTTTAAATGTGATTAGCTTGATGCTGCTTGATACTTTAAATAAAAAATTTATAGATGCTAAAGTATGATTTTTTTGCTTTATTAGCCTTAAAAATAGTTAAATAAATGACGCTTGAGACATTAATAAATTTACTATAAACGATGGAGACTTTTTAATTATGCTTTACAAGATATAATAGGCTTACGCGCACCTAAAATAACGAAACAAGTAAGGAAGATTTTTAAAAAAATAGTCAGAACAAGGAAAATAACCATGGAACGTCTACTGCAGTGTGAAACTGTCATACAAACGAAAAATTACTGCAATGAACATCTGTCGTATTATTATGGACCTTTACAGTGCCCTTGAATTCTAATTAGACATTTTATGCAAGTGTTGAAGCAGCAGTTAAGTCCTGGACTACAGTTTTTAAACCTGATCATTAGAGTCTAGTAAAAATTGATTTGAATAATGAACCGAGTATTTCAGAGGCTTCAAGTCCTTTATCGAAAAATTACAAGGTCATACAATATCTAACGCCATAAAGTAGAAGTCAAGCAGAAGCTTTCAGAGAAAATTAACAAAACTTTCAAGTTAATAATTCATACTTATGGCAGTCCATAATAAAGATGAAAATAAACATAAACTTTCTCTTTCACTGAAAGCTCAAACTCGAGTGACACTCAAGGATCTGCAATATTTCAGATTTATTGCTTCATAAATTTATAATACTCACAAGAGGATTTATAGTTTTATTCAAGCTAATAAATGTTTTGCACGACTGAACATATCAAACTTATAATTTTCATGAATTGATTAGTCTAGATTTTTGCTGACGATTTATTCACTTCAGGATAAACCCTTTTAGAACGTTCATTAACTGTATAGACATTAAGTAATTTTAAGGTTATTACACCCACACGATCTACTGATTTTATGAGTTCATTCACAATACATAAATCCAAAAAGGTGCTTACCATTATAATGGATTTTAACATCCTTAAGACTAAATCTCAAATATCCCATTATTTACATCACCCACACAACCCTTGAACCATTAATGATTAATTAACAGAACAAATAATTGAAAAGCTTTTAAAATTGAATCATGTTTCTGACATTTTTAATAAAACCCAAGAGTACGAGATGCATTTACTTATTGATAATGATTGATTTTCAGGCGTAGGTGTAAGACTCATTCTGCAAAATAATTTGATGGCTTTCAACAAAATTTATGTGTTTGAAAAAAAAGTGAAATCATCAGTTAAACGAGAAAGGGTATGTGAGCTAAAATTAGAAAATCAATAAAACTGGTGCTGCACATGACCAAGAAAATTAAATTATTGATGTAAAATTTTAACTTGGATATGCTTGCACATTGAATTAATTTTATTAAACTGTAAACAAATTTATTTAAATTTTAATATGTTGCAATTTACATGCATGGAACATTCTGCGTGTATGGATGACTTGAGGATATATTCAGAATTTTTTACAGGTTGATTTATTCAATTTAAAGTCAGTAGAACTCAAGAGCTTTAGTGTGGAGTCTTTGCATCTGCTCATTCCACAAAAATCAAATCTCTATCAACTTACTCTTAATCAACTCATAATAATTATTTATTTCAACACTTTTGCTCTGTGAATAAGAACAAATATCCTCTTATTGCAATAACAGAAGTGCACAAAGTTTACTCAAAAACTTTATTTTAACTCAAACAATGCTTTTTTGAATCATCCACTCCTAGAATTGTTTTAATTTAAAACTTTTTGCTGTTTTTAAAGTGTTATTTCAAGTCAAGTGGATTTTTCTATTCAACCAGATTGGATGATGTTGGATGGTGTTAATGCAGATGACAGAAGTCATTGAGAATCATGAGAGTGAGAAGTTTTTAGTTTAAATTGTTTAATATTAATTCCGACAAGGATAGCTTGTAGAAAGTTTTTGTGTATTTAAGAGTTGTAGCAATTTGGGATAGCGAAGGATCCAGAGAAGTTGATATTTACCTTAAAACAGGTTTATTAAGCAAAAAATCGTTCAAAGTTTTTGTCACATAGCTCCAAGAAGGATGGTAAATGAATAGAGATAGACACGGTTAATAGCAAGGCGTGGAAACTATCCCAAATATCCCATTTATCCCATATATCCCAAAAATATTCAAAATAATCCCTGAGCCTGTATGCATTAGATTTGAAATATCACATCGTATCCTTAGTGTTTTGGACGTGTAATTACAGGATATGATGGGATATTTCAATTCTAATGAATACAGGCTCAGGGGTTATTTTGAAAATTTTTGGGATATATGGGATATATGGGATAAATGGGATATTTGGGATAGTTTCCACGCCTTGGTTAATAGAGCATCGAACTAAGAATTAGTGATTGGCAAATGGTAATCAGTTAAAGAGCAAACTTCAGAGAGTCTAAAAATAGCAATTAATTCAAACAGTCAACAAAATATTTACTCTAAGAGCTAGAAAACAAGCTCTTCTTAGAACTCAAAAAATTCTCATTAATTGTAATTTGTTGAAAATTCAATAATGACTTTATAAAGTAAAAAAATTTATCAACAACATAATTTTTATAAACTTCAGCAAATCCAGCAAAATGATTTTTTTTGCACCATTCAATTACTCAATCATGCAGAACAGTGAATGAAGAAGAGTCATTTCATAAATACTTAAGATAAACTCAATTACAGTAAGTTTATTTTCTCCCTTTTTTTACTCGACGAAGCTGCTTAAATGAAGTCTAGATGGATATTTTATGGAGGCAGTTGAAATGCAGAAGACATAATGATGTGAACCCTTTCATAATTCGCTTAAATATCTCTTTTATCGGACAATTTTCTCATTTTTTGTTGACTTCATTTTCCTTTTTCATTTATTTTGGTGAAGAATTTTCGGTACTACACTTTTTCTTCATCTTTCGGTTCCTTTTTACCGTACTTTTCTGTGATTATTGTTATTAATTGTACTAGAGCTAGCAACTCGTTGTATGGTGATGATAAATTTGAGTGAGTTTATGTTTTGTCAGTGATAATTCAATTATCTTTAGAATAATTAAGCCTACCCACCAAATGTCAATTTTTATTACTTATGCTTTACAGGTAGTAGCTAGTAGATTGAGAAACATAAAGAAAATTTCTGCTTTATCCTTAAAAAGTCCAAAATTTCCAAATTCAAGAACATACAATTTATAAAAATTATACAACTCTCACTTCTTACGAGAGTATACCAAAAAAATCTCCTTGGAAAGCTCATAAATAATTATTAGCTTAACTGCCTCACTCATAGATTTTCTCTAAGATGATGGTGTTCTGGTTTAAATGAACAATTCAGTTTATGCAAAGAGTAATTAAGCAAAATGAGGAATAAAGTGTGTCTGTATGATGACAAATACTAATATTTTCTCGCCTCCTCGTGTGCATATAAAGACATTAATGTAAGCAAAAAATGAGTAATGGATAACTTTACTAATGTGGATTAGGATGGATTCATGAATGATGTTTATCAGAAAAATTTAAAAAGTCTAATGGTGCATCGTAAGAACCTCTTTTATAGAGGTAATAAAAAATAAAAAAGCTCATTTGGCTCTGGGGCCGTTCACTTATGACGTCTGACATTTAGGGGGGGGTCTAGGATTTTGTGACAGTTCAAACAATGAAAATTTTTTTCTATAGAATTTTTGTGACAGAGGAGGGGAGGGGGTCTAAAAATCAGGTTTTTTGATGGACGTCATAAGTGAACCCCTCTTCTAATCACTTAAATATTGGACGACATTAATGAACGACCCTTAAGTGTAAAATGCAGAAGAAAAAGACAGGAATATAGTATCAATGATGAATTGTTCGGTAATCATGGTGATTTAAGGTGATATAATGACGTTGCTATCCAACAGTCGTAAATTTTGTGTCTTTAAAATTGTGCTGCTTGTATTGATTCATAACTTGTCTAAATCTTGAGGGTGGTTTAAAATTTATGGATGTCAAAAATGATTCAAAATGAAAAAAATCTTAATAAAACTTTTGATGTACCAATTTTAGCGGGACGAAGTCTTACCTGTCACATAAATCTGTCGTAAATTTAAATATTTGTCAAAAAAACTGTTCAGAAAGCTCCAAATTATCACAATAATCTCATTAAAAACTGAAACACGTAAAAACCTAATCAATTTTCCAAGTCACGAACTAAACATCTACATCCTGTCATCCCTCAAATAACTACAAATTTTTTTTTAAACAGCACAAACTATAATCATTTTCGCTATCAACACAAAAACGACAAAATTATGTGCGACAATAACAATTTAAATAAACTTTTCAACAACAAATGATTATGATTATGCGAAACTAATACCAAACTTGACTGTTTACCTGCTCATCTCGTTCATTATAATACAAAATGTTTTCACAACACCAGTTCCAATACTAAGGAACAACAAAAATAACAACAACAAACTTTTCGCCTTTTCCTCAACAAATTTAATGTTAATGCTTAGAAAAAGAGGAAGAAGTGTGTATTGTGTCAGAAATAAATTACAACAACATCAATGAAAGAAAACAATTCGGAAGTGAGTGGAGAAAAATTCGCACAGGAAGGAAGAAAATGAGAAACTTTTGTCTCTCCTTCCCTCCCTTTTCACGTCTGTAAATTTATTTCTTTATTTTCTAGCATTGTTTAAAGTCTTTCTGAGGAAAATGAGAATAAAAGTCTATGAAGATGTTTGAGTTAATTGGGATTGGTGTCATGTGCGCATTTGAAGTTATAAAGCAT